CTAGGTGCGTTCCTCTAAGTCTTCCTACCAACATGACCATGTTGCGAAAACAAGGTCAAACAACCTCTAAGTAATGTTGTCGATTTCTTTAGCAAATATAACTTTGCTTCATCGACATTCCCATCGCATAATGTAATATGGGACACGTGGCCCAAAGACACATGTGGTGTAGAGGTTAAAGTGCCGAGATTACCCGCTGCACTGTCATGGTTCGAGTCCTGCTGGGGGTGTTGATAAGACCAATGCGAGGTCGAAACTGCAGTCTACCATCGGTGGGAATACCGTATGTGAAAGTAAGGCTATGTAAAATGTAATGGAGACGTAAGTTCTACTCATGCTTGTGGGAAAATTCTACTACCAGTCCCCTAATCACTCTGAACGAAATAGCATGAATACATGTCATACGCCGGGTTATCCCTGTACATACCTATATCTAAGCAATGATGAAGTGTAAAGTTATCTGGTTAGCTGAAATTATCCATCTATCTCGAAACATGTGATTGTGCCTGTCTGTGTGTTAATGTGTCTTCATTTATTTGAATATTTACGAAACCAGAAGTAATTGCTCAAAATAATTTTCTTCGCATACAGAATAATTGAAATAGAATAGCTTAGCATTTAAAGATAGAGAGCATTTTGAGTCGCTAAGAAAGGAGGCGACCCGACTAGTATTTCTTGACGTAGTTATAATCACCGTCCATTTTTTGTACATTTAGCCCACTCTTTCTGTTTCATATCAAGACAAAAAGCTCATCAATATAAACAGACGTGTGTCAAATCGAAGTGATGGTTAACATATATATAGAAATGGGGTGATGTTAGCCATCAAACCTTGATAGCAGAGAACAGACGTTGCTTTTTCATGCATATTCGAACACACGCAGACCCCTATACACTCATGCAATAACACACTCACATACCTTGAGGTTGACATATGATTTGAACTAACCAAATCATTTTATACTTCATCAAAAAGCTTAGATATAGAGTATATATTCAGCATTTAGGGATGGGCCTATG